CAGATTTCTTAAGTAATTTGCAGTAATTTCAAAGATACATATCTCACTTTTACGTAATTGGAAAAACTTTCTACAAATTAAGCATCGCAAATGTAAATACGCGACGAAACTTTTATTTTTTATCTAAATCTTCAAGCTTCGCATTAGCTTCAACTTAATGTGCTTCAACTTAAAATTTTACTTTAGGATTTTCTGAGATTTTTTCAAAATATTTAATGTTCGTAGAATGAAAGAAAAATAATACCACACTAAATTTTCATTAAGACGAAATTTAAGTCGAGCCAAAATGGCGGCCAGTCTGATATATACGTTGATATCATTAATCTTGACTTATAATTTGTTCTTCTGCCGATGCATAATTGCCGGTGCGTGGCGCTTACACCGTAGTAAGCGCGTGACGTATTATCGAGGATCTCGCGAGCAAAAAGCAAGAAGTTTAAGTGCGACACCGAAGTTCTCGATTTATGAGCGACAGAAAGTTATGCGATAAATAAAGCGTTAAAAAAAAAATACGCGGAATATACCGGTTGGTAGACCATTCAAGACGATTTGCAACGGTCGTGCGTAATGGTACGTATAAAGCAGTAAAAACTAATTAAAAATTCATTCCTGTCTCGGACAGAAATAATTGGTACGATGTTGTGTTTCACACGATTTAAAATCCATTAGGTAAGACGATACTGCAGAGGGCGGGTAAGAAGATAAAGAGGTCGAGATTATGGAAGGATCTACCTGTAAAGTGGGTGCGTGCTTTTGGGATTCAGGTTTTTTTTTTTGCGCGTAAAAAAGAGCTAATAAAAGTTTCTTTCGGCTCAAGATCATGTTACGCTGTTTTCTCCCCTGTTGGTCTTCCATAATCTCAAGAATCGGGTAACGTAATTATTGTAATGGAAGGTAGCAATTTATATAAATAAGTGATTTTATTATTTTAATTACTCGCTTTTTTCATAACATTTTCTTCATAATACGAGAGATCGTCATACACAAAAGACATGCGAGAAACAATAAATTAAGAAGAGAAATATATATTTTTTTTCTGAAAAAGTAGAAAAAATAGAAATTATATTAATTTAATAGATAGCTTAAATAATTAAGAAATAATTGTTAATTATATTCAACTGCAATTATACTAATTATATTTTTCTTTGAAAAATATATGACAAAATGCTATGTTTTCAGACTAAGACTGTATTTTCTAAATTATCATGTTTTTCACGTTTCTATTAATTCCGTTCGTTCTGTCTCTCGCAAAAGCATGTCAAAAATGTAGTCGCAGGAAATTACAGCATCTCGCACCAAATATCGACGATGCATTATTTATTAAAAGATGCCGGTGTACGTGACCCGGATGTTAAGGGGTCGGGTATCGTCTATGAAAAACTTCCGGGCCGTTTCGAGAGCACTTTTCTAGAGGAATTTTTTGCTTAGCCGTGTACATTCTCACGACCACGTCGTCTCTCTTTCTATAACCCTCTCTTCCTCATAAAGCCTCGCCTCGGTGACTTCTTATCCTGCGGCTGCCTTAAGCCCACTTTACACTCCAGAAACTTTCTCGTAACCTTCCCGGCCGACGCGTCACGTAATCGCGTAACTCCGCCATCCGCGAAATTTGTTGTCGCCTTTATCACACCGGCACGTACGTTTCCCAGAGAAATTTTATTTTCCGCCCTGTAATCGTCCATCGACGGTTTATACGTGGCCGATCGGAGCGCGATGGCTCTAAGAATCTACTTTACAACGTTTCCTATTAGATTAAAAGAGTTATAGCGTTATATATCCAATCCATTACTACGGATAAAACGTATAAAGGTAATGGCGTGTAATTGCATGGATCGTTTGAGGTAAAAGATTATCATTGCTTTTGCATTCGATACGATTTTCATGATAGTTATATTGTATACTAATTATTTTGATTTTCATAATTTTTAAAACCAGTAAGGCGATCGTATGTCATTTGTTAAATTGGCAGGAAGGCTCATGTTTATTTTGTTCTGTGAGTTTCAACGGTTTACATATATAAATATGGAATGAACATGTTTTGACCGTTACGGACGCGTGAACATTAACTCTTAACTCTGGCCAGCCCGCGTCCCCTTTCACGGTCTTAATGATATGCTGGGTGAATATTCATTTGCGGATTACTTTCATGCAAATTAACGGCGCCACTCCTCGAACATCGATGGCACTCGCGCGCACGCGGGTGTGGAGTTCCGAAAGTCTTAAAATGAAACAGTTTGCAAACTTGATACGGACCTAATTACTACTCGACGGCTTTATTGTCAATAAAACATGGTATATATCGCGGCACCGTAATTTCGATTTCGGCCGCTTTAATGAGTCGTAAAAAGTCGAAACGCGCGCCTACCGGAACGATCGTCCGGAAGATCGTCATAGTACGTTCTTTTTCGCGAGAGGGTCGCAAGCTCTCGCATATGTCGACGCCGTAAAAATTTTAGCGACTTTCACAGTACGAAAGATATTTGATCGGGGCAAGTAGCGAGGTGGTAATTAAACGCGCGAGCGTTATTGTCGCAATTAAACACCGCGTTTTATTCCCGTCCGTCGGATACGAGCACGAGAAACGGACATAGACCAGACTTGGCGTGGGGGTTAACTGTATTCCCGGCTATCATCGATCCCACCGAAATCCGATATCAACCGTATGGAGCGAGTCTGTTGGTATTACAGTAGAAGATCTCGCGGGTTTCCTGCTGTCTGCGTTCACGGGTTGAGTCGAGTCGAGTCGAGTATGTAAGACGACTCTCGCGCCTCCGTCGTCGTCTGTGTATGAATGGAAATATGAAATTTCCGACCACAAGACGTGACGAGAGGACAATGTCACGTCGGTCTACTCGAGCTCGGACTAGACGACTCTCCTCCGTCGCGCATCTCTAAATAGATAAAGCGACAATCCGTCCGAAAGACGACGTTGCAATAGCCGAATTTTGTATCTTCTCATATCTCCTGTATGGAGATTTCTGTGGAGATTTCAATTGTAAAAAAGTGAGAGAGTAGATTCTATCACAGTACAGTCGAAATAATTCAAAAGATTGCATCCGTATGCTCTCAACATCCCAGATTTCTGAGTCAATCCTCCTTTTTTTTTTCCTAGTCACGGAAACGCAATCACATCTTCTTGTAATCTAGTTCATTCAGGATCTACATCGATGGACCTCCGGTGGTTCTTCGTCAACATCCCGTTGTAAGCACACCTATCGTTGTGCCTTCGTCGAAATGTGCTCTAGTTTGAGAGGGCGAATGTAACTCGTTTTTACGCATACATTCGAATGGGATTGAAGGAGACTCGTGAAACGTGAGATGCTCTCTTCCGCCGATGGGACCGTTTGCATCTTTTTGCATCGCGAATGAGATCCACTTTCGCAAGGTGTCGCAATGAGATTGTAATCTATACGTCTCGTCGAGTAGTCAGACAGTCGGAGACACCTCTCGAAATAGATCTACAATTTAAAAGCCGCTTAAAGCGGACGTAAGAGTCGTACCCCAAAATCCGTAGGACGCATAAGTTTTGTGTACAGGGTGTCTCAAAATCGTCGTTACATTCATTCTGTTGTTCTTTGATTTCTTCATCTTTTGAATTACAAGCAATTAGGAATGAACAGATTCTCGCAATAAATATTATGCAATAAATAACAAAAGTTTAGTATATTTATACAATTCTAGTTGATTTTTATCATATTTTAATGGACACAGGTATCAAGACACATTTGATGTTGAAAATTCTTATGTCAAAAATAAAAATGAACAATTAATGAAAAAGTAATTTGTGTTCAATTCAGTATTAATCATGCAGAAATTGATCTTGAAATTGGTCAAAGAAATTCTTAGACGAGAAGTGAAGTTGAGTTTTGAGACATTTCGTATACAGCGAACATCGATCATTCCGGCTGATCCTCTTTCGCGCGAAGACGGAAGCGAGAATTTGCAGTTACCGCTTTTTCTACAACACGAATGACGTTTCACTCACACACAGAAGTCGTTTTTCAATTAGGAAAAGATACCGGCGACGTTCGCGGGGAAATTGATTCGATGTCGATGTGCGTGAAAGGTCACGTAACGGGATTGATGAGATTATTGGCTCGAGGGGCTCGCCATTTCAAGCCCTAATGCAACAAGTGAAAATATTTCTGTAAGTAAGAAACGATAGCTCGTCGGAAGAAAGAGTGATGATGCAGCTTTATTATTAAACGCAATTTTCGCGATCAATTTCTTCGCGTCCACCGCTCGACGGAACAGGCCCTGTTAAACATTTAAATGCCGCCTGAGGCTTCATTTGCTAATGAAAATTTAAGATCCACTTTGGAAACGCTATAGGCACAGCCAAGACATTTCATTCACGTGTAGAATGGCAAAGCAGATAATCTTCGTAGATAGATTGGTAGTACAATTAATGTTAATGTTAATTATATGAATTAAAATGTTAAAGTATAATAATATAAATCAAAATATTTTTTGTTGAAAAGGAGAATTTAAAAGAAAGATAAAAGTTTCAGAAATTAAAAATTGAAAACGTCTTTTGAATGTTATCACAATACATCTTAACAATAATTGATGATACTCGATTTTATAGTTTTGCTATTCGTACAAAATTTAATAAGAATACAAACCATAATATCTAAAGCGTGATATCAAATAAAGTTTAATTGAGCGTCCGATCGAATATATTTTCATATAAATAAATGTCTTCATCGGTTACATGGTTGTACATAACATTTTTTACGATTTTTTTATTCACATAGAATATTTTAACCTCAACTCGAAGCAGATAAAATCTAATATTTTTCGAAATATATTCTTTCGAAAACAAAGGCAGAGACACTTTATTCATGCAAGCCAGCATGTTCCGAGAAACTTTTCGAAGATAAAGAACAGTTTATGAGAATATTATGCATCCTTAAATTCCAGTGTTTTTCAACATTTTGTACATGGCGTCAGCTGTTATCTGACTGCCATGACACTTATATTTGCTAATTACCATGATATTGCGCAGATGTTGTTAGTGACAACGAGGATATTGTGGAAACCTAACATGGACCATGATCGGAACAGGTGACTATCCCCACACCGTAGTCTGATCGATAATTCACAATTAGGGTGGTCGGTATGGTCTTGTCGGTATCGGCCCTAATCTTCAAAGGGTCTCTCTTCCTGTAATAGCGTGATATCGAATAGCTTCAGCCTCGTTTCCTCCGTGTTCCAGACTTACAGACCACCATGAGCCATCCTTTAAATTGGTGAAAGATGGAAGGGATGTGTTACTCATCGAAGTTAAACTTTGTTGCTTTTGCCGTTAATCATCCGTGAGATACTTTCCGAGGAAAATACTTAGTTAAATTCATAATTTCAGTCACACACTGTAATTGTAATTCATATTTAAATGTAAACGCATACCCTCTAATTACAATTGTTATTGAAATTTGATCTTAATTTCTTTTTATTTGAGGATATGAAATAACGTAATTAGCAAGTTCATTTATTATCACTGTATTAAAACGTAAAACCATTTTATAAGTAACGATATATATATTTTTCAGTTTCAGAATGAATACGACGGTGATCTACAACGGTGCAAGCACCATGGATAACATCATCGGTTTTGAATTTGAAAGATACAGCAAGGCGATGAATATCAATATGAATAGCGACAGTGACGTTTCGCCAGTGACTTTATCATCGGCCTGGTCCAGAGTGGCCCGACTTTTGCTGCTGGCCTCCCTCGCCGTAGGCGGGAGCGTGGGTAATGTCTTCATGATATCCGCCGTCGTAGTGGAGGATCAGCTGAACAAGCGAGGTACGCCCGCAAATCTGTTTTTACGATTGCAAATAAAAATGAACGTAGAAAAGCGAACGTAGAATTCGCTTGCAAAGGCGGAGAGAATCGTTTTCGCTGTATATATAAATTTGAGGTGGAGAATTAAAATAGTAAAGGCGACATTAGGAAGAATTGAAAGAGCCGCGAGAGAGGGAGGGTGGGAGGCAGTGGTGTACCTGAAAGAGAATGCTCTCATCGACAAATGCAACGACAAAAGTTTTTACTCTATAGAAGTATATCCGACTAAAAGCCATCCAGGGGGTCGTACATTTCCGACGTGCCTCGCGACAACGTTCTTTCGTATATATCGGTACGGTAAGATCTCTTATCTTTTTCTTTTTTTTTTTTTTGCGTCTCCACGGACAAAAGCGTCCTCCGTCTGTATCCGGCTGAGGAAGGACATAACAGTAAAGAACGTCGTCGGCACAATCTGTAGGAAAGATGGGATCTTCAACGTGCCATTATACCTGCGGCAATGACGAGATCGATTTTTCGTATTATTTGCAAACCTCTATTGTAATTCTCTCATCTTTATAGATACACTGGCGCGATAATAAATAATCCCTGGACACTATCGTGCATCGTTGTCTCCGTACTGGCTCGTACTCAGACCGACCTGAGATAATTATTATTTGCACGCGAGCACTCCACATGGAGCGTAATAACAATGACATTGTAGAATGGTATACAAAGCAATGGGGATGGAAACGTAATTACATTGCCGGCTAAGTATGGCTAAAGTATATCGTTCTTTCTCCTTTGTCTCCTTATCTTTATATTCAATTTAAATCCACGAGTTTAATTTGTTTGGAGAAATACGGATGCTTGAAAATGAAGTGTCTATATGAATTATCCCCGAACTTTTGACCTAAAAAAAATTTAGTGATAAATTTGTTGATAAATTTAAAGGAATTAAATTTTAGATAAAATTGTAAAAGGTGTAACAATTCGTACATTTTTAATATCAACATTAAATATCTTGATAATATTAAATTTCAAATATGAAGATTATAATGTTTATAACGAATATTTTTTTTTTTCTAAGATTGTGTTGATTGTAACTTTTACTTTTATAATATATTGTGTTATATTTTATTTATATATTTGTAAAAATTTGTATAGTTCTTGCTTTATATTTAAAATGATTTTTATCATACGTATATATCTGTATATTGCATACAGCTTCCTGAGGAGATTTAGTCCCAGAGCAGCAAATCAATTTTACATTACTGTACTTTCTCTCTTTTTAAATGACTTTTTTCCTTTTCTCTCTTATTTCTCCTTTTCTTTTTTCTTCTCCTCAGCACTTTAATTTGCCGAGTTTCTCGGTTTTATAACTGTGTGCCGTCATACGCTGGCCATCCTCGTAATTCTTATTGAAACGACCTGAACCATTTTTTTTACCGCTATTTTATTCTGCATGAATCTCGATAGTAGCGCAAATAATACACCCGCTTTCGTTCGTTCGTTCGGAGCTATTCACTGAGAAAATCTCGTTCCGTTTTTCTCGTTTTCTCAGCTATAAAGTTCTCAGCTCGCCGCGATACGGTCGTCTTTCGAGTTGCGATGACAGCAAGAAACTTGAGTCATTATTATCGCGATAACGAGGATTAACCTCCGGATTATCCACGATTTTACAATGATTTCGACGTATTCAAATTTGACATGATAAATGCAAATGTTTTCTGGAAGACGATATTTTTCTTCATGACCGTTTCTCCGTCGAATATGTGCGTTTCAAGTAGGACATAAAATCCATGGCCACACAAATGAGGATATATGAATTCTTAATACGCAGCGATGATGGAGGTGCTTGTGTGCTTTAATGGATCGTGTTTGAATGTTAAACGCGAGTCTGTGTAAGCGATTGTTGTCTTTGATATCATTCGCTATTATTTTTTTGCCTATTTTCTGCCTAGCCATATTTTTTATATTCCCTTATATTAAAAAAAAAAAACAAAAAAAAACGTAACGATACGAGTTATAATTTAAGTTCCTTTTTTTCTTACGAGAATATTTATTTCTTGTCTATATCTCGTTCACTTTTATTAAAAGCGAATATTAATGGAAGTATAACATTTTAATGTAATTCTTTTGTATGATATAACATCATCCTTCATTATTTGGTTTTGAACTTTTAATTTATAATAATGTAATACTTTTTCATTTAATAATAGTATGTGCTAAGTATCTATGCAGTTTCTTCGTACCGGTATTTTATGGAAAAGCATATACCTCTCTTTGAGACTAAAAAGACTTGCGGATTATAAAAGGACTTGATTAAGAAAAATATCTATTACGAGAAATTTTCCTCGAGTTAATGTAAATTTATGCGAATGATTAATAACATATAATAGAAAAGTTTGATACAGGTGGAACATTGCAGATGAGATATCGAATAAAGCTTGTAACGAGATTGAAGTTTTAATGTGCCGATCGCGCGCGCAATTTCGAACTTCACGATCGCTCCCTTTCCAATAAATACGTCCGAACGTGACGCGACGGCAACTGGCCTGTCTGTAGCCGGAAATCCGATCCTAACACGCGATTGCTCCTTTTTCCTCGCGTCGGCAGGACTGCATGCTGGAGTAACGTCTCCAGTGTGTGCGGTACGGTATGCGCGCGACGTATATACGAGAAGGAAGGAGAGTAAGAGACAGAGAGAAAGGATAGGGGAATGCTCGTGGATGTCCGTTCGTGCCTGACGTAAACCCCATTTCTACTGCGGACGTGAAGTGTCGGACGGACTTGGGCTTCGTTTGCGTGAACTCTGCCGGCGCGCGGCGAGAACTCGGGAGAAACAAAAAGCCGACACCGCAGCGGATCCGCGATGCTCGGTAACCCGATGGCGCCGTAATGGATTGCGCAGTCGTGGGGTCGCTATAAGGGTGTACACGGATGAGCGAGTCAATTTCGCGGCGCGTAGCCGCACGAGCGGGCCTGGTTGCCGTATAACTCTGCTCGTCCTGTATCTAATGCCGCAACGAGAGAGCGCCGTTCCATATCTTCCTCTCCTTCTCCTACTTTCCCTCTCTCGATTCTCCACGCTCTTGTCCCATCTCGTCTCGTCTGGATGCTCCCCTTGGAAACTCCGATCACGGAGCTAGGCGGCGGCCGAACGCGGTGAATCCCCGCCGGTAATGCGAATACTTCGAGTACTCCGCGGTGCGGTTGGCGAATAGTTCGGTTCGGCGCTCATGAAACGAGGCTCGGTGAGAAGAGATAGAGATAGAAAGAGAGAATGAGAGAGAGAGAGAGAGAGAGAAAGCGCGAACGACGGGCTGACTCGGTAAATCGATTAAAACAAATTCTGATCAGCGCGGATTCATTCAGTACGTAGAAGAATACCCCTGGTGAGAGGGGAAGGGTGCACGTTCCCATGACGATGCTGCGGCACTGCGGCTAGACAGGGGACCCGGATGAGAGATGGAGATATAGAGAAGGGAGATAGAGAGAATCAATTTCGAAGTGACGCCACGAGCGCTGATGCGGGATAATTTATTCCACGCATCAACCGCTGAATCGATCGGATCTCGTCACACCGAAACGTACCTCCGGAAAATGCGATCGGCGAATGCGGGCGGCGCGAATGCGACTACTGCAGGGCTTAATTTGTCGATACCTGAAGAGAGCGGATCTCTCGATCCCCCATCTCTCTCTGTCTCTCTCTCTCTTTCTCTGGGTTTTTCGCCTACCTACCCGAGATGCGAGAGCCCGCGATATTTCATCCTATTAACCAGGACGAGAGGCGATGGCGAAAGGCAGCAGCAGCAGCGCCTTCCCTCGCCGAAGCGCGGACGGTGCAATTTGTCGCGTAATCATTTTTATCGCGGTGTAATATCCTCGCCAAAGGCGCGAACACGTTTGCGGCCGTGCAGAGTCGTTGGCGTGTTGGTGCCACTACGTTTCGCGCTTTCCGAAAAGCGACAGGTCCGAGGTCGCCCTCGGTAAAAATGTCGCCTCAGCTTTGCAGCGAGAGTGTCGTCTATGAGTAGGTATAACGTCGCGATGTAATTTACTTTATCTGCTGGAGCACATTTTCAGATATTTTTAATGCTACGGCTCCAAAATTATTAATTCTTTTAGATATATGTTGCACATATACGTTAACATTGCATAGTAAAAGCAAATAGAAGTTTTTAATAAATTATGAATATAGTTTTATATATTGCAAGTATAAGTAAAAACATATAATATGCTATAATTATATCATACCGCTTTAACGAAAAGTGTACCAAGTACTTTAGTGCGAGATAGCGATAAGACGTCGAGAAAAAGTTGAAATTATACGTGTAGGTTGCAACTTACAACGCGCCGTTTTGTAATTTATAGGTGTTGATGACTTCTTAAAAGTGGTTTCGCCGCTCAATTAAGTTGCACGGTTAAAGTCGTAATGCTCGATACTTATGACAATGTACATGTTTTTTTTTTGTAAAATGCAATTTGAATACTTGATAACCCTCTGCGTCGTTTCACGTCGGCGCGGGGCATTATCCCATTGTGCGCGGTATCTATTTACATAAGGAAACCATAGTAAATGAAAATTTATCTTATAAGGGTGAGTGAAGTCAGACAATAACAACGAGCACGGTAGAATGCGGGCTACAAGGAAGTGTATAATTATAATAATTATTTCTCGCACGTGCGCATGAATATGTATGCGACATGGCGATCGACTAATGAAAACCTGGTCTCATTCTCGGCGCCCGTAGTATTGCAACTAACATCGGTCTTCTCCTTCGTGGATGGATCATTAAATCTGATAACAAAGCTCGATGCTCTAGTGGGCACACTTGAAAAAAAAATCTTATTATTACGCATTTTATTACTCATAGAGCGTAGTGCGAGCGAGCGTAATGGCATACGTTCGTTCTCTCTCGTACAGAAGCGCGCAATCTTATTATAGTGTTATACTCCCCTAAGGACGTGACGACGTACAGATATTATTTCCTTTTCTCCGTGTCTTCGTCGGGTATTGATCTCGGGGAAATCCCCGAGAATCGAGAGAATACATCGTGTCGCGAGAGGGGCAATGCGAAGTAATGCGGATATTACGCCCTTTTCTTTCTGTGACTTTCTACAATTTTTTGATATTTGGCTTTCGTAGAGCCAGGCTCTACGTATGAACTTATGAAACGCTATAATCGTTGACTCGTAATATCAGCTGCAGCGGCACCGTGGCCTTATCCTCGTTGTCGTCGTCGTCGTGATCGTCGTCGTCGTCGTCGTCGTCGTGGTCGTCATCGTCGTCATCGTCGTCGTTGCCGCCATCTGAGTAAAGTTTTACAGCCGGCGTGATTGTTCGTTTCGACCGACATCGTTTTGCAATTACTATGGCTTTTACGATTTGCCCGAGCAGAAGCTACGACCTCTGATATTATGCCCCTGTGGGCGTGCGTTGATTAAAGGTTGGAGATTGGCCGGCCGCGGCCGGTCTCTCCGAGTTTTCTCTTCAGCGGCGAAAATCAAGCGCCTCCGCGCTGCACGTTAGTACAGCTCGAAGCTACAAAAAATTTGAAGATGATAGTCCGCGTAATATAATAGTTTGGCACAAGAATACCCGGTCGAAGGCTGGCACTTCTGCCAACAGAAGAGGAAAAGTGCGGGATGTCTGAGACGTTCTTGGCAGTACAGGCCAAGTCCTGGCGTTGTGCGCGATAGATCGGTACGTGTCCAACATGGTTATCCCGTGAATTTATATCACTGTCCGAAATCCCACTTCGCGTGCCGTGGCGAAACGCGAGCGATCGATCGGAAAAGACGAGGTCTAACCCACTGGATTACATTTCGGACGGTAAATTGTAACTATACTGAATTGCGACAAAGCGATCTGTCCGTATCGGAGCTATAGGAATAGTAAAAGAAAAAAAAACGTATAAAACCTCTAATTTACATATATCAGCATAATCGACTACCCGATCCTTCCACTCACCTGCGATGTTAAAATTGAAATTACAACTGATGATGATTGTATGTACAGAGTTCCTTTAAATTTATAACTTGCGCACTTCTTTTGTCGATAAAAAATATTATAATATTTTATTACTTATATTAAATTATTTTATTATTTTATTTTGATTATACTGCGCCATTATTTTTGTAAATTAAGTTTAAATTATTACCTTCCTGTTAACGTGATAAAAATCGACTTATCTAACAAGAAATAGCAATAAAAATTATCTAAATGAACCGATGTGAAAAGTTTTGAAAGAGTACGGATTTCGTATGAAGAAAGCGGATGTAAGCTCGCTACATATTGATTTTGGTAAGTTTTCCAGAATTAAGTTTCCGCTTGGAAAATAGACGATTCGTGTATTAATTTAGATATCGTTTCGAGCAATTTTGAGATTTTCGCGCTATATAGGAACATTACTCGAGGAACATCTGCCACTATCGTGCCCACAATGTAATTCAAACGCAAAAAGTGCGGAACGCCTGCTCTCTCGAGTGTTTCCAGATCGCAAGAACTGTTAGAAGCTAATTACTTTAATGAGTTTCACGCGGGTTCTTTTTCCAGGAAACGCATTCCTCGTGAACGTGGCGCTGGCGGATTTGCTGGTGACTGGTCTGGTAATACCGGTCTCGGTGATCGTAATCCTGGCGGGTTACGCGGAGTCCCTGGGTGCTTGCCGATTCGAGTGGACCCTCGAGGCTCTTTGCTTCCTGGTGACCGTACTAACGTTGGCCACAATCGCCGCCGAAAATTACGCACGTCTGTGTCTGCCCGCCGAAAGGTACAGTGAAAATGGAGAGAAACCCGCGTAAAAGGGGTGTTTCCGCAATTTAACGCGTCGACTGCCACGTGACATCATGGTCGCGTTTCATTCTCTCGTCTATTTTATCTCAGGGATCCTTTTGTAACTTCGTGATATTCAAGCGTGGTATGTACATCACACGAAATTGAGAAGTTCCCTGGAAGAACAACAGTAGTTAGGGGATTGTTCTATTGTTTGGTATTTCTGTTTGTTCATACTGTTGATTTACATTCAGTCGAAGTATTTTCAATTCCAAATACTCTTTTCACAAATTTTTCAATATAAAATATATAATATATTTACATAATATTGTACACTTTTAGTAAAGATTAGGATAATAAAAACAAAAAAAAATTTTTGTGTATTTAAATGTTCTGGATTCTTTCAATATGTATGTTTTACGCAAAAAATCATTTAAGTTAATCTAAAACTGAAATTTTAGGTAATGATTATTACTATACTTCGTTTTTCAATTCAAGTTGTTTTTTGGAGTAACTTCTCAATTGCGTGTAGAAAAAGATTAAATTATTAGTTACATTATGTAAATTATTAAGTGTAGTATATTATATATTTAATTATAAAGTTATATATATAGTGCAATAATAACACACGCAAAAGATTACATTGATGATCAGATATAATTCATTGTATCATTATCACCTAAAGGATAACAGAAATTTATATTGTATTATTTATGCTGCATTAAATTTATATTCCGCAATATTATTAGAATATTTTTGTGCTAAAACAGTCAACGCGTTAAATATGACGCCTCAGTTTAATGACATCATGATTTTATGGCATTGAGGGCGAAATGCAGAATATCGCTTTCATAATGCGATGGTTACCCAATATTTTATATATTTATGGCTTTTCCGGACAATACGATTACAGTGCTGTGGTGCGAAAACGCAATTCTAAAGTAATGACACACATTGTGTCTGGCTCGGCACTATTTATATGCAAAACTCCAACTTTCTATGCAAATTCATTTGCTGCGACATTTCCATTTGCGCATAGACACAGTTCCGGATTAAAATGTTTCCTAGTTAGCTTTCATGGTGCAGGCTGAACACGTAATAATGCAATTCGTCCTCCAATCAGCTAAACATTACATTAATCCATATTATTATCATTCAGAAACTCCTGCACATTACGACAATTTGTACCATTTAAAAGATGCAAAAATGCTTTCTCTTTCCGCGGAATATTCGATCAATGCACAAATGCACATACATCTACCCTGTGTGATACCGATTACCCTCGAAAAATGCAGCACTGCAAAAACGATGCATCGGTAGGTCGGGAAGCGCGGAAGATTGATCAGGTTATTGCGAAAATAGTAGAAAATGGTGCTGACCTTTCGTCTGACCGTCGAAATGGCGCGAATCCAACTCTGGACATGAACGGTGACCCGGTGCCCGATCAATATTACAACCCTGTAACTGCCACCGCTCGGGGAGACGAGTCCGCTATTACCGTTATCGCGTCGTCTCATCCGGAATACTTTTTTTTTTTTATTCTTCATCGGGAGACGTCGGGCAGACCCGCTCGCGCCTGTGCGTCGACGGATGATGGGTGAAAGAGATGACGAAACGCGTTGTCAGCGACGGAAACAGAGGGAAGCGAGAGAGAAAGAGAGGGGGAGGAGGGGGAGAGAGAGAGAGGCCCATCCGCCATCGAATTAAGTGCCGGCTTCGGCGATCGAAAAGATATAGCACACGTGACCGTTGGCGCGATCAATAGCCGCTACATTCCTGCGATTGTCGGCGCTTTTTTGCTACCGTTCGCCACCACGCGCCACTTCTTTTCCCCCCTCTCCCGTCACGTCGGGGAAGAGGACCCTTCAAAGCGTCGCCTTTAACCCATACGCTTTGTTTACGAGATGGTGTTTGTCGGATACTAATTGAGCGGTCCGTTTCCGGAACGACGCGACACACAGGCACGTCCGTTCTTGCCCATGGCCGCTTTCCGTCACTCGCTCGGTGGGATGAACGGCCGAACTGATGTACGCGGTGTAATCGTTAACAAAGTTTGTTATTTGTCCCGTAGGGTGGCATGAAAAATGGATCGAACCCCGGGGTGTCTCGATTTGTTGGACCGCCGCAAAAACTAACAAACTCTCGCTCGCGCAAAGGCTGGGCAAAAAGGGTTTCTCTTTGGTTCGGTAAAAACTGAGGGGACGGGTTTTTTAACGCGAATTTTATCGGCTGGCTGCGGTTTTCGATAACTAGATAAAGAACTTCACAGTGTGACGCTTGTCGGTTAATCAAACCGAACCTGTTTGATATATAATCTAAAAATATGGTATTAGTTTTGTTTTGTTTTACAATGATATATTGGCGAAAATTTTTATTGGCAGTCGAATAATCCATTAAAAAATTGAACTTTCTACCATTTATAGATCGTCGATTTGTCTCTTTTAATATGTCGTCGATAAAACTTAAGAGTCGCATTCAAGTCTGTTTGAGGGGCATTGGATAGATAAAAGGCTGATACAATAAATTTTATCCTGCACGGTATCAGAGCCAATATGTGAAGATGAAGTAAAATCCATTTATGGTTAGCACGTAAACAAGCTTCCGAACTTCATCAAACTGCCGCGACTACCGACTAACAATTTGCCTTAATAAACACTTGCATTATCCTGTGCAGCAGGAGATTGTCTCCATTTCCATGTAAATAATTCACTTCGATCAAAGGCGAGGCTATCTGGTTCTTGCAGGCGGGTCTTCATTTGGCGCGGTCGTAGTAACATATATACCAAAACCTGTGCTTGTAAAGCTCTTTGGTCCCCGGTGGCCTTACTGCCGTTCGCGACAATAGCGGCCGAAAATTACGCCCGCTTGTGTTAAGTGTTTGCCAGCCGAAAGATAAAGCGAATGCACCGGTGATTCCAGCAATCGATACCACGTCCCTGCAATTCCCCACGCATACATTCTTGTTTCTGCCTCGGGGACGTTTTTTTCGTAACAACTCTCTATTTCCATTAACGATTATCGAAAAATTTATGTAACCATGCCTAGAAAAACACATGTGCTTCCCTCTATTTCTAACAATTTTTTTTGCGGCAATATTGCGGCGATTTTTTTTCAGTAGTAACCATCGAAACAATCGATATCATAATTTTTAAGAAAACATGCTATTATTCTGTATATCTAAATTTGATATCTTCACTAGTGTTTCTAAGGCAACACCCTAAATACAGTAATATAGGCAAGCCGGGTCATCGTTCGGATCGAAGGTCGGAGTTCCGGTGGGGACAATAAAGGGAAGAAAATTATGACTATGCCTGTTTACTCATAAAAAGATTAAAGATTACACATAGAGAGATCAATAACTAGCACTCCTTAAAATTATATGCTTCTATTCGCATATCTTTACTTTATTTGTGAAATTAATATTTCCTTTCCATAAGTATGCTTTTTCGTGAGCGCATGACTATTTCAGGCTAATGTATCCTATTACAGGCAGATAACATCATTAGAGACCTGGAAAGATAATGTCATAATACATGCCTGGATATATCGTATTGCTTGTAGCCTTTGCATGAAAATACCTCCCGATGGTTAACATCGTTGGATGAATATGGATAATGTAAACACAGTGAATGAGGTAGAAATCAAATTACTGTTATCAGTTTAAACCATCGCGTATAATGCGTATGGCGACCACTGCTTGGAACTTCGAGTTTGACGTTGAAGTGCTTCCACGGTTCTCTATCAGCGTCACGATCGAGTTCGTAATTTCGCATTCCGGGCGACGTTCTCTTTAGCTTGAATTGCCGGAATTCGTAACCGATAGCAGACGATCTCGGGGGCTTGCTCCTGCGGATTTTCAACGGTGACGAGTACGACGACGACGACGACGACGACGACGACGACGACGACGACGACGACGACTACTGCTTTTCATACGCGGAAAGTTTCGCGACAATACGGCGTTACGGGAAGTATTTTAACCAGTCGCGTCAGAAGAATCACGACGAACACGTGGACTCGAAGAAGTTTCCTCGCATTGTAAACGAGAAATCGTCCGCCAGCACCGCTAACTCCGTAACTACCGACTCGTTTTTCAAGTCCCTCGTTAATCCACAGACTAGTACGACCAACTCCGTAATTGCAGTCGCAGTGTATCACCGAGGGAAATATTTTCTTTAATTGAATACGCTGTATAAGAAAGCCGGGACTTAAACAAGCTCGTGATGCAATTAAGGGGGAAATATCCATCCGACGAGACAACGTATTATCTCCTGTTATCTTTAGAGTTATTCCTGAATGTATTCTAAGTTGCAACAGCAAGCTGAATTAATGATACCTTGGCACTCTATATTTATATTAAAACATAATTTATCATATTGTCTGAATTATATATAATTACTCAAAGCTATGAAGAATTGCAGTGATGTAATATTATTTTTCGCGCTATGCCTTCCAAAACTTACAATTAAAATAAATTGTCAATTATTTGAAGAGTGAAATTTCACTCTTTTAAGCTTGAAAATTCCACATGAGCCACTGTTTTTCAAGACTAGCTCAATTTTCAATCTTCAGAGTGAGATTCCACTCTAAAGAATTTAGAGAGTAAACTAGAGATAAAATGCACAGTCTTTTCTCATTTAATTCATTAATACTTATAGCAATGTATTTCATATTTCTTAGATACGCCAGTTTGACGGCAGGTCGTGTAACAGCCATAATTATCGTCGTCTGGCTAATCGCTATGACTGTGGTGGCTTTGCAATCGTCTTTGGACATAGGTCCTGACTTTTGCCGTCGCAGGCTCAGCGGTATTGCGATGGAACAAGCGGTGGGAGCAAGTATATTGGTTGGACTGCCAGCTTTGACGACCATCTTCCTCTACGTGAAGCTGGTGATACGTGTGCGACGAGCCACGAGAGGCTCATATAAACCGCCAGCCGCCTTCTCCTGGGACTATGAGCTCACGAAGACGAATATGTGCAGCTGCGTGATGTTCGTCGTGTTCTGGTTGCCATTCGGCCTGGCGGTCTGCGTGAATTCCTTCGTTCCGGTGAGCACACGTGTACTTTACAACCTGGCCTGGTTCGCCCTGTCCAAGTCCTGCTTCAACAATCTGCTCTACTGCGTGGCGGACCGTCACTTTCGCAGTGCTTACGTCAAACTTTTTCACTACTGCTGCTGTAAGACCACGGTAAGCTTCTCAAGGAGGCCACGCAGCGGTGAGGGTAGAAATTCTACCGACGTGCGCCTCAGAGTACATATTATTCACTCGTACGCGAGTCCATCATCCTGTCGTCCGACTGTGGCCAGACCGAACGGACGTGACGTTTACGAGCTTTAGATACGACGCGATGCGATGCGACGCACGTACAGAATGCAGAAAGCAAAGGTCGATAAAGATGTCGCATCTGTCACTCCAGACGTTCATTCTGCAATGAGCAATCTGTTTTTGCGAGATTGAGCAGTCATTGCACCGACGTAAACAATGTCGCACGAGGACTGCTCTGGTATGGCCTTACAATTAATTCATTTGACTATCACGATTTGTTCTTCGATATTGACTGAATTTTTTGCATTGCGCAGTTTGTTTGATTTTTATAAGGATGCCAAGAACAAGAGTTTTCAACTAAAATTAATTTCGCGATAATTGAAAGCGTATAGTATAAAAAAATATTGTATACATTGGAACCTCGTATAACGAATCTTAAAATAGTGTACAAAATCCTTTCCATACGTGCTAGACGCATATAAAAAGTGTGAGTGGAAGGTAACGATAGAATCACAGCTCCAATAGCAGTCCTGAATTTCATAGTTTAAAAGTGAAGTAGAGATACCCTGGTTATTACGTTCAGAGTTCTAAATCGCGCGTTATTACGAGATTCCAGTGTATTTACGAGTATTTCTATCTTCTAGTTATATTTACGACTAGATATATTATTTAATAACAATTTATATAAAAACACTTTCATTTTTTATTAACAATTTTTCATGTACAATAACTCTCATGATACTCGTACGATAAAATTCGTAAAAAAGAAATCAAGAATTATGACCTAAGGAATTGGCACTAAGGATATCTATGTGACATAACAAGTGTCATTATTAACAATGACTATGAAGAAATTTGCATCTCATTGAGCTTTATTGTAAAATACAGTCAGTTGAAATTAGTAATGTATGGCCCAATACTTTTGACGCTGATACGAATGGTTGCCGTCCAGTGGAAATGTTCTGTATAAACTATGCATTTGTATATTAGGATTTTGTCAGAGAGCTTATGGACGTCATATATTTACGGATTGAAAGCTACGTTCTTCGATTATTTAGACTTGAAGTTGTAATCGATTCTAAGGATGTTGATAATATTTAGTAATCTCTTTGTTATTTATTAATAACGAGGCAGCATTTTTATTCCGAGTGAAATTTTTTGAGACGAATATAATTACAAAAATTCGGGAGGTTTCTAGTATTATCTCTCTCTCACAAACACACACACACACACACACACACACACACACACACACACACACACACACACACAAAACACATATACATAAATTTTTTAGATAGGGCACTGTCTCATTTATCGCGGAACGTCCATTCTCGACGGGAGAAAAGCGGCAAGCCTGTTTCTCTCCGCGAGATCCCATCTTGTAACAAGGGAGAGACAAGTGTCTCACTCGCGACAGCATTTTATCTGGCTGCAAGACGAGACGTGAAACGCGGGTGAGATGGAAAATAAGGTTTTCCCAATCTCGATTAAATTTCTCGACGGAGCTTACTGGCATTCCGAGAGGGAGGATACCGGCCGCGAAGTTATATACGTGCCTGCTGGAGGGGAGTAATTTACGCTGGTGCACTGCAAGTTCGCTATGTGTGAGATTTAAGCTCGACGAACACACGCGAGTAACGCGAACACCACATCCCGAATTATGGCTCCGACGCGGTAAGTCGACCGGTAGATGAAAATGCCGTAACGTTTAAGGAGGCACTTGGCGGCGCTCATCATCCCCCAAAGTTAATAACATTCCGGTAACGAGGTGAAGTCAAGTGGATCAGATAAGGGCGATTTGATGATAAAGATGGCAATAATATCAGTTAAAACTTTCAGTACTCTGCTCGTCTATCGGTCTCGACGTTCGACGATTTAGCAGGATCGCTCTTAAAAAGAAGAAAAGAGTTTCTCTAGCCATTTATTATGTAAATCGAGAACGGTCTCTTGCGGGAAAGGTTCTTTTGACGGTGATCAAATAAAGATCAAAGTCAAGTACCGTAATGTATCGCTCTATTGACGAAAATACATAAACTTTTAACATTAAGAGATATAAATTCGGGAATAAATTGACCGAATGTAAAATTTTTTCTCACTGAGGAAAAACTAATTGATATAAATGTCATTTTAATGTTGTATTATTTAATATACACACACACACACACACACACACACACACACTCGTACAAACTGCTTATCAAACGTCTTTCTCGTCTTGTACTCAGATCGACTCGCTGTTTGCTTTAAAATCAAAAACCTCGTAGCTGCCACCTTTCGATATATTTAATTTTAAATCTACATATCGCACAAAACGTGATTCTCGACAATTAATTACATACGTTTCTCTTAAACATATCTGGTTGCGAATAATTAGTCTTATCCGCTGAAGTACTGAATGTCCTCTGAGAAAACAAGTACACACAGTGCACTAATTACTGCCCCTGTCATTTTGACACGGAAATAACTAAGCTGCATCCACGTGTACTCGAATTAACGAAGGGTGTAAGAAATTATGTCCGATAGTATCATATTGACGCAGAGAACACGAACGATTTACGACGAAGGACTCGGGATTAACGCGAAAACATTCGTGGTGTGATTCGATCGCCTCTCGAGGCTCTACCGTGTATTTCGTGTAAAATCGGTCGGTGAATATTGTCGTGCCAATTATTCTGGAAAACGACGCCATTCTTCACCCCGGGTGGGTAATTCGTTACGTGCCGCGCGGCGATGCGTTCGCTTTGCTGCGTCGCGTTTTCTCGGGACAGACACTGTTTTCAAGGATCGCGATTTATTTAGCAGCGTTTCATTGGAGGACACTCGCTCGCGAGTGACACCGGCATTCGCTCTATTCGCGAGAATGCGCTTGCTCCGTCCATATACACCGCACAGCTGCGATCGCGAGTATCAGATTCGTGATGATATATTCCAAAAAGAGTTTCTTTTAGTAATTCCTTCTGGCATTTTTTAATGACGTGCCTAAATAATCTCAAATTATAAATTTTGCGTTTAAATGTATTATGATATTTTTCAATTTTCTTTTACAACAAAGATTAAAATCATTATAAATCTAAATAATATCTACAATATGAAGTTGAAACATTTTAAATTAATTTTTATTATTGAAATGTACCTATAATAACAGAAATAATTTTTGCACATATTTATTTTTTATAAAACGAAGCAATTATGAATTATAATATTATTACGATATTATTTTATTATGTTATTTTTTATTTCGAAAAAAATATTTTATGTAATTTTATATTTTAATATCTAAAGTTGTGCAAAATTGTCAGTAATATTTTATCAAATTCACGAGACTGAAAATGTTTATTAAGTACATTTTAAAATTTCACTTTACAGATTATATGATGCTATTTGTTTTTTAATGTTTTGCACATTCCACGATCGCGGCTTTTCGGTTATTGCTAATCGTGTATTCGAGCACATATCTATCATGCTTTATATCTAGAAATTTATTCTGTTCGTATCTTAATAATTAATAATAAGATGCGTATGATATCATTGTGCGTATATTTGTGTAAAGTAAATATGTTAAAACCAGAGTTGGAAAATAATGCGTTATTTATAACGCCGTTACCGTTTTTATTAATTTTTTTCTATAACGATAATAGTACATCGTTACATTTTTACAATGATAACGAATTCAGCCGTTACTTTTATTGTTACTTTAATCCCTTATTATCTTTGTAACTATTCAATAGATCGCATTATTTTTAATTGGCTAGAAATATTTTATTATAATAGAAATTTCAAAAAATCAAAAAATGTTTTGTATTTCATATCATTGTAATAAATCGTTACTTTCTAATTAATGATAACGATAACGCGTTATTTTTTAAATTAGTAACAAGAAACGGGGCAATGAATTTATTTTTTACAAAACGATAACGCATTAATGAAGTAACGTTCCGAACGCTAGTTAAAACGTATTAATACATATTAAAATGTATTAATTAATCGTTTTCCACTTATATTTCCATATCGTTGAATTCAACATTTGAACTGATGCAAGCCAATACGCCAACACGTATGTAAAAAAAATAAATGTATATCCTTCTTAATTATGTGAACTTCTCAAAATGCAGTTTAGGATATGTAAAATTGCATTGGAGAACATAATTGAACATACGTATAAATGACGGTACTCACTTTGCTTATATAAGAGAATAGTCAAGTGACTTGTATATGATACTCGTATATGTAGCTAGTGAATCTAACACGACTATACTGAACATGTATTGATAATGCACTGTTACATGATCGATGCTTCGTCCTAGACATGTAATAGGGCCATATATTTGTGACTGACAAACAATAACGATGATCGCATTACAAGTATAAGCGTCAAATCTTTTTATTCGCATATCGAAAGAGAAGGTATAAAAATAGAAGAAGGTGCCTCGCGTGACATAGAACAATGTTATTTCGAAATTTATGGACTTCGCGTGGACTTTAGGTTCAACGATATTTCTTCGAGAAAGGATATTTCTCCATTGCGACTGTTATAGTCCTATCCGGTGAGTTACTCTTTTTGTACTAGTCAACATTTTTATTGCAGTAATCATTTTTATCTGTCACTTCAAAAACTTAAACGGATTTTTATTATAAACTTTTAAAAATAGATAGAATATATTAGTATAGCAACATTTTCTTATCTGATAATGTGTGATAAACAATACATTTTTATATACGGATATCAATTTCTGAATTTAATAATATCAAACGATTTTAATATTGAAATTGATTATTTAAAGTTTACGTTGGAATTTTTATTTCATTACTATTTGCTAATAAAAAGTAACATTTTTATACGATTTTACCATGGTTTTTTTAAAATGAATAAAAAGAGGCAGAAGAAAATTAAGATAGAATTTTTAAATAAGAACGTAAAA